ATGAAACGTTTCATCTCTCCTCCAAGAGACTTCTTCAGTCTGAGAGTTTCAGGCAAAATTCAGGCTTTTAAGCACTGCCTCCATGTGACTGATACTCACATCACATGGCTATCAGTCACATGGAGGCAGGGCTTAAAAGCCTGAATTTTGCCTGAAACTCTCAGACTGAAGAAGTCTCTTGGAGGAGAGATGAAACGTTTCATTAGAGAAGAACCCGTCCAGAGGACCTATACAATTTTTTTCTTTTTGATTTTTTACCTGGATTACTGAGATGCATCAGGACATGGACAAAATGCTGACTCAGTGATCACACAATAAGACGGTTTTTTTTAAATTGTGCAAAATATGCAGGCCTATAATTAAATTTGGAAAGTCTAATTATCTCATCTGTCTTAGTCTGACTGGACAGACAACAGCCTCCAGTAACAGGCCAGGGTGTTATGGGCTTTATGTAAGCAGTTCTTGTCATCAACTGAGAACTGGAGGAGAGACTCTGAGCCATGATGGTAAAATAAAATAAAATAAAATAAAATAAAATAAAATAAAATAAAATCTCGCACCTTGGAACTTGAAGCTCTCCAGGTGGAGCCACAGACTGAGGTCCTCGTTGTCGCACCGGCAGCTCCAGGGGTTCCCGCTGAGCCCCACGGAGCGCAGGGCGGGCAGAGCCAGCAGGGAGCTGATGTTGAACACCGTCAGGTTGTTCCGGCTCACGTCCACCACCTGAAGGACTTCGTTCTCCACGAAGGCGTCCGGGTGGATCTCGGAGAGCCCCGGGTTGTCGGTCATCCTCAGCATCACCAGGCTCGCCAGGGGCCCGAACGTCCGGTCCTCGACCCGCTGCAGGGTGTTGAAGGACAGGTCCAGGTAGGCCAGCTTGCGCAGGTTCCCAAAAGTGGACTGCGAGACCTCGGTCAGGGAGTTGTTGCTGCAGTCCAGGTACACCAGGTCGGACAGGTAGTTGAGCGCGAGGGGCGGCAGCTCCGGGATGCGGTTGTTGGAGATGATGAGGTGCCGCGTGGCCAGCGGCAGGTCCGCCGGGAAGGTGGTCAGGTGCTGGCCAGCGCACTGGACCACCAGCTGATCGTCGCACACGCACCTGTCCGGGCAGCCGGCGGAGACCACCGGGGACGACACGACCGCCGCGCCGAGGAGGAGGAGGAACACTAGGAGCCGCAAAGGTCGCGCGCTTGGCTGCGGGGCAAGACGCATGACACCGCAGAGGGCTTCATCCACCTCGTTCGGACCGAGTCAGCCGCGGTCACATTCCTCATTGATCCGTGGAGGTGTTGGGTCCAGAAACGATCCCCACCAAGGTCAGAGCCGAGCGGTTCGGTCCCGTGCGGCGCGCTCCCCCACCCCGGTCTCTGCCGCGCGTAATGTGTCTCACTTCATTCTGCCAGCTGGTTCCGGAGCCTGAGCCTCGAACCGGACCGCCTGGTGCCCCTGCGCGGCTTCACGTGTCACTGATCTGTCCAGTCGCCTTTGACAGCAGCTATTCTCACGTTGTAAAAACCTGACAGCGTCCTGTGGTGGTGCGCTCACTCCTTCCATCCTCTGTCTCCGGCTGAAACTGAACCCAGCTGGGT